GAAATGTATCCACAGACCCCTTGGGGGTCCGTGGACCCCAGGTTAAGAACCCCTGACCTAGAGCCACCTTGTCATACTCCCTGCCAGGTGTGTTTGGCCTGAGCATCATTCTTGGTGACCTGGCACAAGTAGGGTCTCAGAGGCCACCCAGCCTCATGCATAGGAGGGTCATTCAGCACAGCCCGAGTGGGAATTTTGGAGAAGGAATATTCTTGCCCTTGAAACAGGCCAAAGGAGACTAGGTGGGCTGGGGGAGGAAGGGAGTGGGGGATGTTGCATCAGGTCTATAAAGAAGGGCCCCTGGATTCAGGACTGCTGCAGCTCACCAGATCCACCCTTTCCCTGCAAAACACCCCTCCCTCCACCACCACAGTAAAGCTGTGAGCCTCCACCATGCTCCTCCATGATGACTCCATGATGCAGCCCAGCTCCTCTCTCCTCTGAGATGCCTTGAACACTGCCTGGGTCGACTGCTCCAGCCAAGGGAGGTGCTCTGCATTTCTGGAGCCTTGAACATCATTGGTCTGAGGAGGTCTCCATGCCCTTAAAGAGAAGGTGGATTTTCTGCTGAGCCATCGGAGAAGCCCATTTATACCTCATTACTGAGCCAGCTGCCTGCGGCTTGCCAGTCAGTCCCGTCTTTCCATCCGTGCTGTCTGGTTTTCTCCTTGGGACTTAGGTGAGCCCTTCGCATGCCTCTTGCTGACCTGCCTTGCTGTGACAGGATTTTGGGGGAATGGAGTTTGCTTTCCTGAGTTTGCGGGAGATGTGCTGGTGGGTCTGGGCTATTTCTGCTCAGCTGGGGTGTGTGTGGGAGGAGTTTTGACCCTGAGCTGGAAACAGTATCTATGTCCCTTAGCTTGATCTGTCCTCTCAAGTGTGTTGTGCTTACAGATTGCATCTGCAACCATCATTTCTGCTTATCTAGCTGTTTGTTTCTATGTCCCCCATGTAATTAAGTAAAAGGAAACAGCCATGCTCCTTAAGGCTGACCTTGGATCTAATTCTCAAGGCTCTGCAAATGAAACCTTCTCTCATGCATAGATCAACATAACTCCATTGGCTATACCAATTTACACCAGCTGATGATCTGGCCCTTTGAGATTCTTCCACTCCAACCACGCCTGCAGAGCATGGACATTCTTGAAGCATAGGCAATAACTTTTGTCCCAAAGCAGAGACTATGATTTACCATAACCAACTGATTCTTGAATTTGCTTGCTTGATTTTGTTAAGTGGGAAACAGAAGGCTGCTGGGAGCAGATGTTAATATTTTTAGATGCAAGAAGGGAATGGGAAAGTCCCACTGCTTGACTTTCTTTGCACTGGCCCATCACTGGAATTAAACTGAGCAGGGTGAAGTTTGTTTAAAAATAACCCGCATTCCACAGATGCCAAGTCCCTCAGCTGTAGCTTTGCCACCTGTGGTTGCCACTGCAGTGCCTTGACCTCCACAAGTCCTTTGGACTGTGAGTGAGAACGGCAGCAGCCCAAGGAGACAGCTGCAGCTCCTTCTAAGCACCCCTTTACCATTTTTAGAAGCACTTTCTCCCTGGCTATGTGTTGGCCCCCTCACATATCCCAAGATAAAGTTTCTTTAGGCAGATTGGTGGTGCTTTCTGCACCTCCTCTCTGGGACTCCCATCCCTTTTTTCCCCTTGCCTGAATTATCAGTAACTCTTTAGTGTCCTTCTCAGCCCAAATAACACCCTTCAGATTTCACATTGCTAAATAAAAATGGGGAAAACAAATCAATCGGTCAATTCTTTTAAATATATCTATACAAAAATTACAGTGAAAGTGAGGTCATGCCAATGTGTTACACTACGTTCCCTTCTGTGGGGGCAATGTATACCAGTCTGAGTGGCGATTTGGGAATCTGCATGAGGGCATCCTCCTGTACCTTTGCTCTGCCAACACGGGCATGGCTTCGAGGTCTGTTACTATATCATTTGTGTTGTGCCAGCACCAACAGCTGGCATTGTACAAGATGCTATGCACAGGAAAGGAACACAGGCTGCCTTGACCTTAGCTACCTATCTGTGATTCTTACCTAGCCCCATTATGATAGTATCCGAGTGTCTCTTCAGTGTATCTAGTCCAGCAACATGCCCCCTGAAGTTGGCCAGTGATGTTATGCCCATTTTTGGATAGGGAACTGAGGCACCACTAAGTGACTTGCTCCATGTCACACATTGGAAGCTATGGCAGTGCATGGAATTGAACCTAGGGGTATTCTAAGGAATTTAGTATAAAGTGGCACGTTCCTTACGCGAAAGGCACCAAGAGAAGGGATTCCTGGGGATTCGATTTCCCTTGTTTGCAAAAATTGTCTCAACAGAGCAATACTTTGAATTGTTGTCTGCCCATGGGGATTTTGTCCAGTCAAAAAGCCCCGGGTGCTGCACTTTCAGGCTGTGGAGGGGGAAGGGAGGGTGAGGACATAATTGGCAGCCAGCCACAAGCTGTGGCTAGTTCCCTGTATGACAAAAGATTAGGGAAGTTGGGGAATAGGAACAAACCAATTCCTCTTTTCTGATGGAACTACGTGTACAAACAACCAACAAATTCACATGTAACATGAATCATTATTTTACATCTTTTTTTTTTAATTGCAGGTTCATAACCAACTAAACCAAGATGTCTGAGTAAGTTCCTGTGTTCAAATATCATAGATCTTGTTTGCTTTTTAGTTGTTAGGTGAAGATTTTTTTTCCCAAAATTCTTTGTTTTTTATTATGATGCTAATCTCTTGTTTCTTTTTTCTTCCCTCCCTCCCTTTTCTTCTGTCTCTTTCTCCCTGAGCAGTGAAGAAGTAAGTTTCTTTCTCTCTGGGATTTTTCTCTTAGTAAAGTTCAATAGGAATGGCAGTGCACCTAGCTTCATGGTACCTTGTTAGAAAGACCAGCTCCTGCAGGGGACCTGTCCACAGCAAACTTGCCCCAACAAACTTCTTGTAGTAAAAGAGCTTCTAAGGACAAGGGTTCAAGAATATAAAAGCAGGAGGAAATATTTTTGGGGAGGGTAGCTGGAGGGAGGTCAGGTTTATTGGTCTTAGCTTGAGGGTTATATTTTTTTCCAAGAGTATTTTTACTTTGCAAACTGACTGCAAGGTGAAGCTGTCACCAATAGCCCAGTGGGTAGGTGTTTGTGGTCCATGGCTGGATAGGTCCTATGGCAACAGAGGAAATTAAAGCGATAGGAATTGTTGTGGTGATGCATCCTCTCCCATTGAGATGGCTGTTGCTCACACAGTTTATTCTCTAGTTGGCCATTGACAAATCACTGTCCAACCCTCTTTCTAAAGGTGATGCTGTCTGACCCACTTTTAGGTTTGCACAATCAATGGTTGCGCACTTAAAAACTCCCTGTGACTTCAGCCCGAACAGAATCAGGCCTGTACAAGCCCTAGCAACATGCTTCACTCACCTATGCCGAGGTTGGGAATAGCTCCTTAGGATTGTAATGGGGTACACGAGTATAGGGAATCCCAACCAGACTTGCTTATTGCCATGTAGCCCAGGGAGAAGGACAGGTGGGATCACCTTGGAAAGACACCCATCCTCTCAGAAAAGTTCAGAACCACTTGTTCTTATTTTTGTACCTGGTGAAATCCCATCCCTGAGCTGTTCAGAATCAGTTCCAGGATGAATGTCTCACTAGTCAATATAGGAGCCAGAGCAATTAGCAACAAGACTTGTTGTAGGTCCTGCAAGCATTACCGAGAATTGCCTTTTGGTGAGTTGCTCTGTGTTGCCTCAAAACATACCAGATGCAAGCTGTAGAAGGTGGACCCTGTTATTACTTGTACAGGGAAGAACTCTATGGGAAACCAGGCACTAATGGTATGGGTTGATAATCTGACAGGTGTCTTGAGAGCCTTTTGAAGCCAATGCTCTAAGACAGGTCAAGGTAGGCACCAGGCTGCTAGAATTGTCCTCTTTCAACTGAGAAACAAAACCTAGGGACCTTATTGCTCATGAGATCATATCTCTTGAGTGCCTGACCAGGCTTATACTCCATTATTCCTTAAGCAACAGTCTCATTGAAATCACGTAAGGATGTGGGTCCAGGGTATCAAAAGAAAATAATGACAATCATTGGAAAAGGAGGTTAGCACTGACATCCTCGTTAAATTGCCACTGAAGTTGTTATGATCCACACTGCTCAGCCCTCCCCATCCCCTCTGCTATTTCAATCATGTAGGATATTTACTTCCTAAGCTTTTGTCTCATGTTGTGTGCAGGTAGGTTGCTGCTGTTTCACCTCAGAGGTGGCTGCATTATTTCTGTGGGGAAGAGCTCTTCATGCATTCTGTTCCGTGGAGACCTCTGCACTTCTTCAAGCTGATAGCTGTGATAGAAGTGTAAATGGTTATCAGCCAGTCTATAGATTCTTATTTTCCTCTCCCCTGTGTAGCACCACTGAAACATCAGGATGCTTCTTCCCACGTGCATATCAAAATGCGAGCATGTGCGTTTCCCCTGCCCCAGCCACTCTTGTACATACTCACTTCCTTGAGTGAAATGTTTGGGGAACAACTGCAGTGTGGGATAGAGGTTGTGACTTTTATAAATCAGAGAATGGCTCTTACTTTCCCATTCCCCCATGAGCATGGGAATCCTGGATTAGTCTGTCACATTTCCAGCATAAAATAGGCCATCCTGGAAACATAAAAGTTTTGGTGCTTGGCGGAGATAGAAAAGGCATTTACATTTCCCATTGGGCTTTCTTATTGGCAGCACTGCCTGGTTCAGCAAATGCATTATGAGAAAGAGATTTTCTTTTTCTTCTGTGTCCTCAGGCACTGGCTGGTGCAGGATGGTGGCCCCAATTTTTTGTTTTCTAGAGCAATCCCTGTGTTTTCCTATTAATGTCATGATCCATGCTGGCCAAATTATAGGTTGCTAGAGTGGAAGCCCTAAGTGCAGGTGAGGAGCTGGCTCAGAGGTCAGCTCAGTGCACAGAAAGTAGATGTGCTGCTGAGAAGTTGTCGATGCCCCTTACTTCACACCTGCATCTTGCCTTCTAGCTTCCACACCCCCTGCTGCTCTGCTCCTCCCCTTGAAGTGATGGATCTGGCTGTCCCAGTGCCCTAGCACCAACGCTTTTCTCACTCCTACAGCCATGAATCTGGATAGGTCTCACCCCACGCGGACAGAACAAAGTAGTGTAGCCAGCCACAAGCCTGGCTTCGTTCTGCCTCCTACAGCTTTCCTGCTCACATCCTCCCCCTTGGTGTGTGAAAATAGCTGCCTCCCAGCCCACATGGCCCAACTGCTGTGGACATTTTGCTGCAGTGACAAATCTCTACATCCCACAGCCCTGCCTTCTCAGTGCCCCAACAACTGCAAATAGAAATACTATGTACTGACAGACCTAGGATGGGTTGGAAACTGAACTTAGTTCCAAAGCCACCCAGCAAGTTTTTTCCTCATGTACTCTGTCCATAGGTCCTTGACTATGTTTAGGCAAACTGAGCTTGTACTCTTGTGGTAACTGGTGACCTTAATGGCCCCGTTTCAGCTCCTGAATATGCAGAACTATGAGAAAATCTCAGTTACTATCTAACCTCTCCTCCCCCCCAAAAAATCTACCATACATGAAGAAAAAAGCAAGAAAATGTGACACTAACCTCAAAAAACAAAAGGCTAAAGTGTTTGGGGTCCCTTTAATTTGTCTTTCCACCTTCAAGCAAAATAGATCATTTTCTAAGCCAACCTCTTGATGGGTTTTCAGGTTTGATTCATGATTTTTGGATGTGGAGGGTGGGCATCACTTAGTCAGCAAAAATCTCTGTGCTGAGCTTCACTGGCCAATATGCATCACAGCAACCTTGTAAAGTCTGCTAGCTATGGGATTCATCACTGAGGTGTAGGGTGGGCTTGTTTCACGGAGTGGTAGGGGATTGATCCTGGATGCTGTTTGTTGTATTGTGGGCCCAGTTCTTCTCTTGTCCCTAGTGCTTTCCAGTCTGAGCCAGGTTGTGGGCAGACACACAGATCTAAAAATTCATTGGGGTTATATGGGGGTGGGAAAGAAGGGAGGAAGGATGTTGTAACCTGCTTTCTTCTTTCCTTCTTCCCATTTTTAGAAAAAGAGGAGGGCCGCCACTGCCCGTCGGCAGCATCTGAAGGTATGTGCTTGATCTATAATTGTCCTGCCTTCCTGTTTTGAGCAAGCCATCATTCCTTGAACCTTTTCCCTATCATCCGGAGCTGAGATTCCAAAATCCAAGAGATCCCCAGCATCAGCGCTCCTACTCCATTCCCTACATGTCTCCTGATGAGATCAGCACAGCCAGGAGTTGTTGCCCTTGGCTGACACCTATGCAAGGAGTGGTTGGGACAGGTGTTACCTGATACTTCTCAACAGCCAGTCTTCCCCCCAACATCTGTAACAGGGCCTCTGGTACTGAAGGAGCCATGTGCTCCCCACAGCTAGTTCTCCTATGCCATCTTTTAGAGCAAATAATCCCTGCTAGCAGCAGGATGGTCTGGAAGCATCCATGACCCCTCTGTGGTCAGCACTTCCATTATCTTCCCTTCCAAGTTTCCAACTGAGAGGCTGAGCCTGGAGTAGCTATATGATCCCTTAGAGAGGTAACCAGAGTTCCCTCCTTTCTGTCCCATAGAGTGTTATGCTCCAGATTGCTGCCCAAGAGCTAGAAAAAGAAACAGCAGCTAAAGCATCAGAAAAGGCCAATTACCTTGCTGAACACTGTCCTGCTTTGTCTCTGCCACACTCCATGCAAGAACTGCAGGTAAGAGCATAGTCTCTTCTCTCCCCTCTTCCCAGAAAGCAAAAAAATGGTTGGAGTGTCCTATGAAACTATGAAACTATATCGTACTGATTCAGATCCTCCAGCCCACATTGACACTGTCCATTTTCTTACACCAGTGCTTTTTCAGCATCTTGTGACCCCAATTAACAGGGATACCACTCCAGCTTATCAGTACAAGAGGGACAGTGTGAGTGTGAATCCCTTGTATCAGTTAACATCCTCCCTAGAGGTTATGACCCATCTGCTCTACTTCTAGCACGGTAGCTGATGAGAGGGAAAGTCTTGGCTCTCTAAGTGAGAGGCTGACATTTTGTCTTCCCAACAAAGTAAAGATGACAATGCATGCATCCAGAAATACACTTTTTGTTTATTTGTTGCTTCTTTAAGTTTCTGCAGCCAGCTGGTTGCTTCTGAACATACCCAGACCACTTCTGGAGAGGAACCTCACTGAGCTTCTTGCCTAGCTCCAATAGTTCCAATCATAAACAGACACGTGAGGCACAAGCTTGACTTTTTGGGGGACTTTCCAAATTGCAGTTATACTAAATTGCATGGATTCAGTAGATCTTTTTGTCCCAGTGCAATTTTTCTTTCAGGGGTGGGGGGGGAACTAAGGAGTTGCCCAGGTTCTTCCAGAGACATCTAAAATTCTCTGCTCTGGGTGAAGAACATAATCTGTCACTAAATGAGTACTTTTCCTGCCCTTGGAAGTGGGTACTGAGGCTTTTCCCAGCACTATATTTGCACATTGGATTGGCAAACTGGTAAAATTGCAGAGCAGCTTTTTGGGTTCCCTGGTTGTTAGGCTACTGATTCCCAGAGTGGGTGGACTGTGGACGAGCCTAGAATTGCCATGGGGCCAGGACATGTCTGCTAAGCTGGGGCAGAATGGGATGGCATGCAACTACCTTGAGTGGTTAGGAGCTGCCTGGAGACTCTTCTGCACCAGGAAAATGTCCAGCCTGGTGGGGTAAGCTGGACTCTGTCATGCAGTGCTGCTGGAAGTCCATGAAGCAGGTAGAACAGAGACCAGGAACTGGCTTGTGACTCACTGACTACATTTCAAGATCCACTGACCTAGGGCTTCAGATTCATTCACTGATGGCCCATGCCAGGTGCATAGCTAAAGCTACCAGGAGAGCATATCTGTTAGGGGAGAAGGAAAAGACAAGTAGTTCAGTTTGTGTATTTCCTGGTGCTTCATCCCCTTCCTTGTTTCTCCCCAGGAACTGTGCAAAAAGCTTCATAATAAGGTAGAAGTGGTGGATGAGGAAAGATATGACATCGAGGTTAAGTTACAGAAGACTAAGAAGGAGGTAAGCTTCCCTTAGCAGCCCCATCTCTGATGATGTGGAGGTCTGTGGAGTGGGCTCAGGTTTGAGCTCTGCTCTCTATAGCAGTGATCTCCAAACTTTTTTGATCGCTCACCCCTATCAGTAAAACATTTTTGAGCATGCACCCCCAATATATGTATATTTATATAAATATACATCTAAATAGAAGTTCTAATATTTTCTTCCTGCACCCCAATGGATCGTCTTGCGCACTCTACCTTGGAGACCACTGCTCCTTAGCATGAGTATCTCCTCTCTGTACCCCTACCAAACTTCATCTGTACCTGCCAGCCCCCCCAAGCAACCCAGTTGTTAATACTTCCTGTGCTTTGCTGAACCCATCATTTACCTTTGGAGATGGTGCACCCTACCCATCACATCCTTCACTATGTGCACTTTGGTGTCCCCTGTGTCCTTGCTCCCCTTGCTGTACCTCCATCTTAACACATCATTGACCTCTCTCCTCTCCTTTTCCCACCCCAATACGATTTCCTCTCTTTTTCTCCATAGCTTGAAGACTTGAGCCAGAAACTATTTGACCTGAGAGGCAAGTTCAAGAGGCCACCCCTGCGTAGGGTCCGCATGTCTGCTGACGCTATGCTGCGCGCCCTGCTGGGCTCCAAGCACAAGGTCAATATGGACCTTAGAGCCAACCTGAAGCAGGTCAAGAAGGAGGACACAGAGAAGGTAACACGCTACCTCTGTCATGGTTACTGAAGTTGGTCATTATAAGTGGGAAATCGTGTTCTCCTGTATGTTGGGATGGCAGTCACCATCTTGGATGATGTACTGGATGTGAACAGGAGCCTAAAGAGATGAAAACATGAATCAGTACATCTTGAGTTAAAGAGTTTGAGTTGACTGCCAGGGGATAACAGACTCAAATCCCTTCTGGATTGGGCTCAGAGGGGGCCTTGTAACATAACTTGACCAGGGATGTCTGACAAAAAACACTGGCTCCTCAGAAGAGGCAGGAGTATCAGTCATTGGCATTCTGTGTTTCTACCATGTAAACTATGACTTCCTTAACCCTCCTCAGTGGTTTGGGTCAGTCTTTTCTAACACTCTGAGAGTAGTCCTGTCTCTGTGACATGGTCATTTCTCTGCCTCTCCTGCAGTGATCTTTCCATCTATGAATTCTCCCAGCTGTCATGATGTTACATAATGTCAGAGGCTTGAAGCCATTTATAGAATCATAGAAAATGAGGGTTGGAAAGGACCTCAGGAGGTCATCTAGTCCAACCCCCTGCCGAAAGCAGTACTATCACCAATTAGATCATCCCAGCCAGGGCTTTGTCAAACCAGGCTTTGAAAACCTCCAAGGATGGAGGGTCTATCACCTTTCTAGGTAAACACATTCCAGTGCTTTACCACCCTCCTAAGGTGAAAGCTTTTTCCAATATCCAACCTAAACTTTCTTTGCTGCAACTTGAGATCATAGTTCCTTGTTCTGTGATCTGCCACCATGGAGAACAGTAGCTCCATCCTCTTTGGAACCTGTCTTCAGGCAGTTAAAGGCTGCTATCAAATCCCCCCTCTGTCTTCTCTTCTCCAGACTAAATAAGTCCAGTTCCCTCAGCCCCTCCTTATAAACCATGTGCCCCGTCCCCCTCACCATTTTTGTTGCCCTTTGCTGGACCTTCTCCAACTTGTCCACATCCTTTCTGTAGTGGGGGGCCCAAAACTCAACCTAGAACTCCAGATGTAGCCTCACCAGTGCAGAATAGAGGGGAATAAGTACTTCCCTCAATCAGTTGGCAATGATCCTATTAATGCAGCCCAGTGTGTTGTTAGCCTTCTTGGCAGCAGGGGCACACCATTGACTCATATCCAGCCTATTGTCCACAGTAACCCCCAGGTACTTTTCTGCAGTAAAAGAGTGCTTGGGCTTATATTACTGCTCTAACATTTTACTACCAAGAGGCAAATGTCAAGATTTTAACAGAATGCACTTTGATGTTTCCATGGGTGATTTAGACATTAGTATCAAATGACCCTACTCTACTAATGGTAATAGAATGCTACCACCGTGTTGGAGAAATATATACACTCCTGCTGTAGCTCAGATTGACTTAGCAGGTATTAGACCTGCGGTACTCAGACTTGGGTCCTCCATGCATTCTTGCCTGGCCCTGTTGTCTTTGCAGCTGTGATATCTCTAAAATCCTGATTACTTCCAGTGTGGACTAACGTGTTTAGCCCACTTATATTCCTCTTGATGGATAGGCTACTTCCAATCCAAAACTGTTGTTCAGTGTTGTTGTCCACTGCCAAACAGCTGCCTGGTCCCACCTCAAAGGTGGATGCATTGTAGCAGGGGGTGCCTCTGCATGTACAATACGGAAAGCACTCAGGGCTGAAAGGGTTGCATTTCATCTCTGTGCTAAGAGCAAGCATGAGGCCTATACACCACTAAAGTATCACCAGTCTTCAAAGTTAGAGTGGTTGGACATACGTCTTGAGTTAGCCTTCTGCACAGGGATGAATTCCTCTCTTTAAGAATGTGAGAAAAGCATGCTACGTGCCAAAGGGACTGCACTTTGTCTTTGCCCCACTGGGATGGAGGTTTGATTAAAGAATTGACAGTTGGTTTTGAGCACTGCATAGCACTCCAAGCACATTCACGTTTCCTTTTCTTTCTCACCTACAGGAGAAGGATCTGCGTGACGTGGGTGACTGGAGAAAGAACATTGAGGAGAAGTCTGGCATGGAGGGCCGGAAGAAGATGTTTGAGACTGAATCCTAAGTCCCATGGAGCTGGTCACTGCAAACCTTCTGTCTATCCAGCTTCCAGATTACTCCTCCTCCTTTCCTGCCACCTATATTATTTTTCCAGTCAGCTCATTAGTATCCTTGTTTAGGGCTAAATTTCCTGAGGCCACAGTCACATTTCATAAAGCAATGCAAGATACAAGACCTACTTGCCATCCCACCCCCTACTGTTGCTATGGAAACAAGAGTCTTAAACCGCAAAATGTCTTAACTACATTCTGAAACAATGGTAGTGGCATGAACTCAAATCAAATGCAATTTAATCCAGCAATTTTGTAAGATCTGTTGTTTCAAAGTGATTTTAATGGTGTAAATAAAGCTTTGAAAGTATAGTTGAATTTTTACGCTTCGGAGAACCAGGCATGACTTGACTTTGTGTCACATGGCCACTTATTTCTTGGAGAGGGAGGGGCTATGAAACTTTCTTGCAGAGATAATCAAATGATCAAGACACATACATTAAGGCCTTGGCAACTAGTAGGGCCATATCAGCAAGGTAGATCCTTGATGATTACCTAATGAGGAAGTAATTAGGTATTGTAACCTAACAGATAGAGCACCACACTGCAAGGGGTCTGTTTTCTGTTCCCAGGTCTGCCACTGGCCTGCTCTTATTGATCTCAGGCAAGTCACTGTGTCCGTCTGCAAAATTGGACTAATGCTACTTTTCCTCATCCTCTACAAGACACTGAGAAATCTGTGGCTGAACAAATGCTCTATATAAAGTGGATCAAAGGCAACTGAGATCCTTGTCCTGTATGTCAATCTGTCTGATATCAGAACTTGGCCCATGGTACATTCCCACCTTGCATGCAGGTGAAGCATGAGCTGTGTTTCATTGTGTTTTATCCATCTGGAACAGAAGCAACTCCCTGATTTCTAATCCCAGACTCTTTGTCATTGAATATAGCTACCAGACAACAAACAACAGGAGATTCACCTTAAATTAAGTGTGGTGATCTTACACTAACGAGGTAGTTAGCTTTGTTAGTCTGAAGTCTATGCCTCTCGCAGCACTCCTCCTCCCCCTCCTCCCTTCCCTCCTACTGGTAGCTATATTCAATGAGATGGCAGTAACTTAGTGAAATTGCAGCTGAGGTGGGTAGGAACTGAAAAAAAACACCTTTTATATTGAATGTAAATGAAGGGATTGATTGAAATCAAGAGTAGATTCCTAGACTACTAAGAACAGCAGTCCTAGGATGCAATACCTGGACATTTTCATCTAAAAAGAAAAACTTGAATATCCCTCTTCTCATATAGAGTGCTCCCTCTGAGGATTTCAAGGTGTTTTCTAAACATTCAAATATTCAACCTCACAGCAGCCCATTTTCCAAAGGTACACATAGATTTTCAGTGCTATAGCCAAGGCATCATAAGAAGTCTGTAGCAAGGCCATCCAGCTCGGATAGTCTTTATAACCCTAACTGGAAGAGCATGCCAATAATTTGTTGCTGAGTGTCCAGAAACAGAACAAAATGCTAGTGTTTGGCTATGGCTGCCCATCCTGATAAACAACACAAAGGAATAGTGTAAGCTAAACTAGTCTTCTTCCGCTGTCTCTTGCAGTCGAGGATGATTATCTTCCATGATTGTCTTATGTCTGTGTCTGATACTGTATCAGACAGGCTGTTTAGGGCATCTTTTCTATCCCCCTCCCAAGGTGGGGTGAGAAGAGTGGATCCTGAGGAGGGCTGCTCAGTCACAGTTACAGCTGCTGAATTGCACTCCTGTCTCATCCAAGTGCTAGACAACTTTATTGTAGCTGCCGCCTTCACGCTAGTTCATGACTAGGAGCTTCCAGACCTCACAATCCTGCTCCCGTTGCCATTAGCTGGTCACCAAATGGTTTGAGTAATGTGCTGGCATGGAAGACATCTGTGCATGACTTCTTTTGTTGTGGAGAAGCTGGTGCATACCAACTTTTACATGGCTCTTGACAGAATGGGACCTTGGTCCAATGGCAAAGAGGCCAAGAAAACTGGGGCTCTCGTTCTGCTGCAGCCTTCATCCACCTTCACAGCCATTGAGATTCTAACATCTTCTTCCACCTGCTCTGCCTCTGGGGACTTGTAGACCCATAGCTTGGGGCTGGGCGGGCTTAATATAATGGTGACCTGTACTCTACTCACCATGTCATAGGATATATGTGGCTTTTCAAGAGGGAAAACATTGCCATCTGCTGTCCTCACCACATCCTGGTAGTGCTGCTGCTGCTTGGTGCATGACTGCTTATTCATCAAAGTTACTCCTGCTAATTTCACAGCTAACCATCCTTGAAGGTCATTCCACTATCTACCACCTGTGGACATGCTGGGTAGCAGCCCTACAGGCAAAACTAGTATCTGGGCTCTGTATCTGACAGGAGCATGAACTGAAACTGTCTTTTTTTCTCACTTGAGGGGCAATTCATCTCTATGAAGAGAGCCAGGGGCCTTATTTATGCTTTATCTGGGGGACTTAAGAGGCCCTCCATGTATGCTGAGTTTCACCCTCAAGAACTACACAACACTTGCTATAGCCAAAAATAGTGGACACTGAGCTCTTTAGAAAATCTGGTCCCTAACTGCAGCTGAAACGTCACACTAAGGTGCCGGTGCCTGAGGCAGTTTTATGAGACCTGAACTCAACTAACCACCAGGTTTTACCACTACCCATATGATGGCACCCCCCTGACAATATAACACCAAGCACCAGGCAGGGGCATTGCTTCAATATTGCTTTGGAAGGCAGAGCGACATCAGTCGAGTAGTGAGTCCTCTTCAGAGAGAAGATATAGCTGGTCTTGTGTTGTTATGACGTGAGCAGTCTGAGGATTTTGAGAGATCCAGCAATCAGCTATATTCAGCCAACCCCCTTTTCTGGCTGAGTGCCCCTCTTGGCTGTACCAGACAGCAAACACTGGCAGGTTTCTAGCAGCAACTAACTGGGGTTAGGTAAAGGGTGCTCAATGCCTCTGTCTCATGAAGCATAGAGAGACACAGATCAAGATCGCTTTATGGACCTGAGACATTTGATGAGCCACAGCCTCAGCTAGTGTTAACTGGTATAGATCGACTGGCATTTATGGGCCAATGCTGACTTAGGCCAGGTGGAGATCCATCCTGCGCATTCCCAGCCAGAGATCCTGGAGTAGTATAGCCACCAGTCTGGAACAAGAAGAAGGGGGAACCCTAAGGAGCAGTTATTTTATAATCAGAATCAACCCCACAGCAGACAACAAGCGCTGCATGCATCCTCTGCCTATACTGCTACAGTATTTGTCTTGCTAAATTGCTTGCTGCCATGGTGAAAAACTATGGTGAGAAGGGTGCATGGTGGGGAGGTCTAGGAGCTTCTTTGCCGGGACAGTGTCTTGGGACACCTCTCCAGCCCCCCAGAGTATGAACTGCCCTTGGAGAATCCAGGGTGCTTGCTAGAGCCTTCGTACGTGGGGTCTGCTTTGCACTTGCTTGTATCATGTACCACAGTCAATAAACATCACGCATGTCACTAGTGTGTCCACAGCGCTCCTGACTTGAGCCTTCCATTTACAAGAGGCCTTCCAGAGATACCCAAGGAGGGTGGAGATATTTTCTCAGTTGTTATATATCCCTATGTTAGAGGGAAGGTGCTCAAGCTCTGTTGCCATTGCACAGTCCCCCATCAACCATCACCTCTCACTTTCAGGGCAAATGGCAGAAAGAAGGAGGTGAGCTGCCTTAGATGAAGCCCTAGTTGTGGCTTTCTTCTGCACCCTGTTAGTTCCTCTGCAGAATGGGCCTTAGTGACTGCCATGTGGCCTGAGCTGTTTTGCAACTGCAAGGGAGGATGCTTCTTGCACAAGCAGTGCTCAGAAATAGTGCAGGATATTTATGCACAGAGAGAAGCCACAGGAAGGAAAAGGGTGCGGTATGAGCTACCAGTGCTGCCCCATCACTTCTTCCTCAGAAGAAGCTTAACCTGGCATGTCCCCTCCAAAAATCTGTTCCACTTTTCCCCCTTGCAGAGATTGAACTCGGGGCCCACATGCAGTGGGGAGAGTCAGCTCGGCCAGCTGGAATGTCCCGTCACTCCACCTCTGGCGGTGGCCTGGTCTTGGTTTTGTGGAGATGATGTTTGGGCAAAAGGGATGTCAAGAACTTGGCACAGCCAGCCTCTTCTTTGCAAGCTGTTATCACTGCTCCAAGGAATGAGGCAGTGGGGGTTTTCTTCCCTTTTTCCACTCCTTGTTGGGTCTGGGGGCTGGGCTGTCTCCTAGGTTCTGGAAAGAGTGCAAGCTGAACTTCTCTCCCATCCTTTTGCTGCTTCAGCTAAGGACACCTGCCACATGGTCTGAATCCCAAACAGCTTCTGGGCAGATACCAGAGTTTTTTGTCTTCCCATTGCTAGAGGTTCTGGGTTGTATCCCAGACCATGTGGAGCGAGGAGGGAGGGTTCAGGCTGTGCTTTGTTGATGCTTATGGAGGACAATGGAGTTCAGCATCCTAAGACTTCTGATTCCCCATCCCTCTCCTCCCAGGGAGTCTCTTCTGAAGAGCTTGGAAGATGGCTTGGAAGATGGGAGAACGACAGGGAGGAGACAAGAAGGCCTTGCTGTAGGCATTGAGATCCATTGGAAGGAGACTCGCTCTGATGCTGGGGAGGTAGGGGGACTTACGATGTGGCCGTTGCGTTGAAGGTTTGAACTTACTTAACTTGAACCTCTGGGTGGCAACTGCTAATTCTCCTTGCAAGCCATCTCAGGGCTTGGTCACTCACAGTGTTATGATCTGAACCCTGTGGGATGAGTGCAGAATGTCCAAGCAACTGCATCTCCCTCCTGCAACATTTTGACTGCAAACAGAAATTTGGTTCAGGTTCCTCGTCCCCAGTGGTCAGTCCCAGAGTCACGCCAGAGCCATTTGGTTTATTTCTTTACCTGTCCACAAGACCGAAAGCAGAGGTACCCCCAGTTTCAGTTAGCCTTGGGTCTATTGGAGAGAAGGTGTCATCTGTGCTTGTTGAAGGAAAATCCTGACATGGACTTTCAAGACCACATGGAACAAAACTGCTCAGTGGCTTCTGTACATTGTCCAGGTTCTTTTTTGAAATAATCCTTCCTTTTTTGGTGAGTGCACCACACAAACAAGCACATCCACCCAGCACTACTGCCCCTTTGCTGGTAACTAGAATTTGCAAGCCAAAGCAGGAAACTGTTGGGCAGGGAAGCAGGAGCAGGCAGTGTACAAGGGCTGTAAGAGAGCATGGCTACAGCTTTGGAAAACCTGTGCTTCTGCAGTGGCAACCGGGGCAAAAATTAGAGCAGTCTTCAGGGCATCCTTCACCTGTGGCAGGTGCATGTGAGGAAATGCTGCAGTCTCATTGTAGCATAGTGCCCACTGCACTGCAA